CTACCCAAATGAGACTGGCCATCTCCTTTTATTTTTAGTTTAGATCTGTATTAGTCTTAGTTTCCATTTATTGCATGAATTTCATGCATGCTTCATATTTTATCCTTATCTCCCTTTTTTGTATCCCCTAGCTTAGTTTCCCTTTCTAGTTTTTCCCATTTTCCCCCTTGGGTTTTTTTCCTTTCTATTATTCTTTTTTGTACTCTTAAAGGCGGGCAATAGCTCTATAGTGTGTGTACCCACTAGCCTTTCAATAAAAATCTTTTACCTACACCAAGAAACCAACACTGTTGTAGTGTAAGTGCTGTCAAATATTGAAGCATAAAACAAAGATGTATATTTGTTTGATGTGACGTCAACTTATTGACAGACTATTAAGTTATGGACAGTGCAAAGTTGTGACTCTATCTCCGGACACAACAAAATCCGATTTCTTGGATTTATTTTCTCTCTCCCTCTTTTTCTTTTTTTCTTGCTATTAACATTTAAATTCCCACTGGACTTTAAATGTTTTTCTCCTTTTTTCTATTTTTTCCTTGATTTTTATTTCCTTTTTAGCTTGCTTCCCTTTGCATTGCACTTGTTCCTTTACACTTCTTGATATTACTTATTTAGTATGCTTCCTGAGAGTTTATATTTTTTAGTAGTTTGATTATTTTTATTTTTTTATTATTTTTGATTATTTCCTTTTGTGATTATGCCCAAAGACCTGTACACTCTTCTAAATAATCATCATTCACTGCAAAAGACTGCTGATTTTAGTTTCTGAAAACCTGCAAAAATTTTATTACAATTTTTGTTTTTTAATTTTTTCAAATAATTTCAATTTTTTTCTGTTGTGATTTCAGATCGCTCTTTTTTAGCTATAAAATCACACTACCGTCATTTTTTTGGTCATAAAATTATAAAATTGGGTTTTTTTTTATATTATACACTTCTTTGATATAATTCTAAATTACACTGAAAAAACACTTATACAAAAGTTAATATAATATTTAATAAAAATTATATATATTCTTAAGGTTTCACTTTTTCTATTTCAAAATAAATCATTTAAATATTTTTTATGTATTATAAATGTGAATATAAGAACAAATATTTAATTAATATATTTCAAGGGAACGAGACAAAAGGTTGTGATTTTATTTTTACTGTAGCAATATTTTTGTGTGATTTTTCTCTTTGATATATGAAACTAAAATATCAGATTTTTTTATTTCATATGTTGTGAGAGGCGAATGTTTCATTTTTGGATAATTTTTTGTTATGGTCGAATCATTGTCATATCAAATATTATAATTCTAAAAAAAGACTTTAAAAAAATTGCGTACACTTTTAGTAATTTATGCAGTATTTGACTTGGTTAATGACTTAACGATATATGAGTATAATTATGATGATATGTGTAGTAGATGTATCAAAGAATTACTTGGCATACTATAGTCATGGCATGGAGCAGTATTTTATCTATTTATAATTTTTTTTTGGTATATAAAGACCTTGATCAAGATCTTTTAAAATCTATATATTTTTTTTATAATTTAAAACAATCAACATGTCCAATAATCAAAAGAAAGTCAGTTATGTTATCTGCAAATGTCCAGACTGTACAAAGTTGGATAGCTGTGGAAAGAAACAGAAAAGACAAAATGCACAACGACACTATGAGAAACATATAGTGCCTGTTGCCAAAGACAATGCAATGGGTAAATAACAAGAATAACTTGAGCTGTACATGTAAAATTAATATAAATTAATTCATAAAATAGATGTTCCTGAAGAACATTTTGACGACATGGAAGTAGATAGTATTGACAGTGACAATGACAATGATTATGATTACGAGAACGAAGGTGAAGGCGAATATGAAGACGAAAATGAAGAACAAAACATTGAATTTGATCAAGAAGGTAAGAAAATAAAATAAAATAAATGAACAAAATAATAATTGAAACTGATATATATTTTTTTTATTTTTTATTTTTTATATGATTATAATTGTAATTATATTTTTATTTCTACATCTTTACAACAATTATTCCTTTCCAGTTGACTTACCTTTGTCCCAAGAAGAGTCTATCTTTACTGCCAAAGATACATTTACAGGAGCATTTGTGGTTGATAGAGATGAGATTGAAGAAGGCAATACCGGTTTTGTTTTTGAACAAGAAGAAAACTTTGATGAGACCAGTGGGACCTCAATAGTAGAATCAGGTATGAATTAATACAATATAGACAATTAATCAATATATTAATTTAAACTAACTTAACCTTTGTCTTCATAGCTCGTCCTTCGTCTTTTGATAACATGCCCTTGTATATTCGCTTTGTTGCAGTATTCATTGTCATATTTCACTTGACCTTTTTGGTGGAAAGCGGTGGATCGATTCTCATTGAATTTTGTAATACTCTACTGTCTCTCTGTGATATGTCTGGCGCCCTTCTGCTGACGATCAATAGTTTGAAGCATAAGACAGGATTTAACATGGCAACAGACGGAATGACAGTATACATTGCATGCTCACAATGTCATTCGATTTATCCTCCGGAAACAAGTCAAAGAGTCTGTACATTTAAGAAATTCTCTCAATCCGCCATTTGCAACAACAATCTCTTTAAAGTGTCAACTGGAAATCATTCTCTTCCAGCAATGGTATATCCATTCAACTCTCTGAAGTACGCCTTGCAACAAAAATTCTCCAAGCCAGATTTCGTGTCCAAGATCAATTTGTGGAGAAATCATCAAATAATTGAAAACACCAAACTTGACATTTTCGATGGTGCAGTTTGGAGTGATATTAAAGACATCAATGGCAGACGGTTTGTTGATGATAGCCAATCTTTAATGTTGACTCTGAATATCGATTGGTTTCAGCCATTTGATGGACAAACACATTCCAGTGGTGCGATATATCTCTCTATCAACAATCTCCCACGGAGTGAACGTCTTAAGTCTGAAAATGTCATTCTTGTTGGTATGATATCTGGGCCGAAGGAAGCAAGCACTGACAGCATGAATCATTACTTGAAGCCGCTCGTTAACGAATTGTTGGAGATGTACATTGGTGTAGAAATGACAGACTCACAAAATAGAAAGATTGTTGTTTGTGCTGCATTGATGTGTGTTGCCTGTGATATCTCTGCCACTCGCAAAACCTCTGGATTTACTGGCCACATGAGCACATGCGCCTGTCACAAATGTCAACAACAATTCACGACTATAAAGAAGACCAGCAAGCTTGACTACTCTGGATTCAAGTATAGCAATTGGGTGAGACGCACGAAGACAATGAATCTGGAACACACTGTCAGCTAGGCAAATGCATTGAACAATACTGAGCAAACATGTCTAGAAAAAGAAAATGGCACTCGGTGGTCAGAGCTTCATTGGTTATCTTACTTTGACCTAGTCCGCTTTACAGTTATAGACCCGATACATAACCTCTATCTTGGAACTGCAAAGCAAATGATTCAGATATGGCGCGAGTGTAACTATATCAATGAAAAGAATCAGTTAACTATGCAAGAGCTTGCCAATGGTATTGTTGTACCTTGTGGATATGCGCGTATAACAAAGAAGATTGCTGATGGTTTTTTGTTCATGAAAGCTGACGAGTGGAAGTCGTAGTGCGTCATATACTCTCCATTTGTTCTGAAGCATGTGCTCCCAGCCAAAAATCTCGAAAACTGGATTTTGTTTGTTGACGCATGCCACTTACTCACAAAACCTTTGATCAATGACAAAGAAATAGATGAAGCCCACAGTAAACTCCAATTGTTTTGTACAAGATTTCAGACACTGTATGGAAAATCGGCTGTGACACTGAATATGCATCTACATCTTCATCTTGGCGAGTGTGTTCATGACTTTGGGCCAATTTATGCTTTCTGGTTATTCAGTTTCAAGAGATACAATGGTTTGTTGAAGAATATCGAAACAAATCAAAAAGGCGGCTTTGAATCAATGATGATGAAGAGATTTTTGGAGATAACATACATTGGCAACTTCATACAATCTTTTGTCAATCATCTTCCCCAGTTCGCAATTGACTTTCTGCATCGCATTTCAAATAGTCAAGATCAATTAGCAGCATTGCATCCATCTTCTACTGCCAGTACCTTTTCTCTGTCTGACTTTGTTGAATATTCGTTAAACTCTTGTCATTCTGCTTTGGGTTGTGAGCTGTTGCCCCCTTCAGTGTTTCCAATTAAACTCAACCAAAGGATTACAATGTGCAAGGGACATTATGAATGTTTACTGGAGTTTTACAGACACGCGTATGGCAGTCACGATCTTTTTGGCCATTATTCAAACTGCGAGTCTAACCAGATTTTTGTCAATAACCAAATTGAGAAAATAAAACAGATATCTCTTCTTGGACAGGAATACTCTTCTGGGTCTTATTTCCATGCCTATTATCTTGAGAATAACAGTGAAGATAAAGCAGCGTTTTCTGGCTGTATACTGTATTTATTTCAACATTTGATAACTATCAACAAAACTGTCATCACCCATACTTTTGCGTTTGTTGAGTGGTACTCTAGTTATTCTTTGGGGAGTTACCAGCCAATGTTAAATGAAGGCATTGAGCTCTGGAATGAACTTTCTTCTGTACTTAATTATGAATGTATTATTCCAGTACATTGTTTATATTCACCAATCGCAATTGCTAAATATAGATTTACTATAACTAGTGAATTTAAACGTTTAGTAATCCCTTTACCCCAAAAAATAGAAGCTTAAATAATATTAATAAAATACCATTTTGCACTCTTTTATCAATTTATTAGAAAATGTTTGATTTATTGTCTTATTATTTCTTTGACCATGATGGCAGCTTGTTTGCCTTGGTCTTACTAAGCTGCTTATCTCTTATTCCTTTAAATTTATGCTCGAATGGATGGGTATTATTTTTCTTATCATGAGCTGCCTCATAATCCACATCAAGTTCATCAACGAACCTATCTCCCTATATGTCAATGTAAGTATTATTACACACCATCCAAAAAAATAGTTTTTTGTACTATACCTCTTCGCTTCTCCAGCTTGGGCAGAATCTCCAAAAAAAAACTGTTTTCTGAGGACGAATCCTGTTTCTCTTCTTCTCTTTCGTCATCACTCTCAAGGTCTGACACGTAATCAGCATGGAGAATACTGTCAACATTCTCTCCAAAGCTGTTCACAAAGTGTGCCCGATTGGCTTTCAAGGCAGATTGTCTTCTTTCACACGACTATATATAAATATATAATATTTCTAATTTAATATCACATCTAGTATATTGTGTGCATGTGTTTTTTATCTTTACACATTGCTGACAAAGACAGGCCCGTCGATTCTCTTCCTGCTTCTTTTCTTCTGTTTTTTTTTCTTGCAACTTTCTGTTGCCAATGTGCCGCACAATCTTAGTTCGAAGAGTTGGCAAATCCACCTTTTTCCCCTCTTCTTGATGATGAAGGTAATCGGTAACAGACTTCAGAACGAGTCTGTTTCCCTCACTGTTTTTATTTTCATTGGTATTGTATTGGTCATACAATTTCTCTTCACTCAAATAATCGCGCAACAATTGCTATAATATAAATGTATATTAAATTCTATCTATATAAAAACATATTATGATTACTTACATCCAATGTTGGTTGACGTCCAGGCGACATGTCTTGCTCAACTGCATTACTTGCAGTGGCTTGGGCTTTCTCAGAAGATGTGTTCTTCAAAACAGTGTTTAAGACACCATTCATGATATCAAGTTTCTCGTACACATCATGGATGTTACGAGTTCTACCTGACGAATCACCTTCAAGATTCAACCGAGCTCTCTTTGGTGCTAGTGGTCTTTGATTGCTCACTGTTCCCTGTGAGTGTTGCAACATTATCGTCCTTATATCATTGGTATTTCTTGGTGGGCTTTTTTTTTGATTTTTATAAAAAACAAAAATAAAATTAATATAAGAAAATTGAAGACTGCCTGGTTTTAATCTACCTTCCCACAGAAGGTTCTTCACCAAAAGCATTGTTAACTGAATTGTTATTGAGATTTCTTGACATTGTGAATAATAAGAATAGCTTGTTTTTTTTTAAATCCAAAGGGTCTATTTATATTATGTTTAATTTGGGCTTTAAGTTTTATTCTTTCTCAGAGAATACCATGATCTATTACGTAACAAGAACAGCTTTGAATGTTTCCACTCTTGTTGTGAGTATTTTATGTGTTTCTTTAATTTAATTTTCAATCCATGTTTTATTCTTATATTATGTATTAGTATTTGAATAATATGATTTTATACTATACTCTGTTTTTCATATGTATTAGCTGCTGGCATAGTGCAACTGCGTTTTCTTTCAATTCTAAGTTACAGACAAAAATTATTTTTTGATTTATTTATTTTTTAAAAAAAACCCCAAATTCGTATTTAATAGAATAACCGCGCCCCTCTTTTTTATTTTCTCTTTCTTTAACCTGCTCTTCTCGTTTTGTCTCTTTTTATATGTCTTGGTAAGCTTACTCTTAAGATCTCAACTTTTATTAATACTTTTGGCTTTTAGAATCATCTTAATATATATTAGATAAACAATACACTCAATAAGCATTCAAAACAGTACAGGTAATAAACAATCTCCTAACCAAAATGAAACACCTTGCTGACTAAATATCTTTTATTTTTAAAATGATAGGGCTTCTACCCATTTTGTAATAAAAGATGTTTTGCTCTTGACACTATATACTTTCTGGTATTTTCAGTCTATGAAAAGGTAATATATATATAACTCAACTTAAATAATGTAACTTATCAATTCTTCTTCTCAGATAAATATGTCACGTCTTTTTTTCAAGTCATACTGATTTGCCCCCTTTTGCAAATGCGTGTCTATAATACGTAAGTAATTCAAGTGTCTTTACAATCAAAGCATAAATATTAATAAAGTTGTTTATTTTATTTCTTGCTTTTTATTTAAAAGAAAATATCAATCAAATGGATTTTTATTCTATCACAAGATTTGTTATGAACCTCTATAAATAATCTAGTAAGTATGTTATTTCATTTTATTTCATAAAGAAACCTGTATTAATACTTCTGTATCTTTTTTTGCTCTAAGCTAATGTAGTTCCAAACAAACGTATTCTCCAAGAAAATACCAAGGATTTCATTTTCAGTTAAAGAAGTGTAAAACCAAAAAACGTGCCGAATACATGAAACCGATATGGTAGGGAAGTATAGTATAAGTTAGGTCGTCCAATGCATTCAAGCCGTCCAATAAATGAAAGTATAACATGTATACAAGTCGTACTATTCGGATACACACTTTTAAAGAAGTATTAGTGGTCTATATGAAATAGCTAAATATATTTTCCAACCATTCAAAAATCAATAAAAACCATTTTTTCCATGAGATTCTATTTCAAATGCGTCATCTCTTGATGATGTCAACAAGATCTATTTAAATTTTTTTTTACAATCATTCATTTGAATGCTGGTTCCTGTCAGATTTCAGACTGATTCTAGGTCGATTTTAGTGAGGTCTATCCAATAATATCATGTAATTAAAGCAAATAAAATTTTTTAAGAGGTAGAGAGTTCAAAGCCAATTCCATAACAAGTAGGGTTTAGGTACGGTTTGAAGTTATGGGTGAATATATAACCAGAATTACAGACAATTATAACATTTCAAGAAAAGGGGGGATTATAACTCTCAATTTATCTATTGATTTTAGTATCTATAATCTCATCATTTGGTTAACTAAATGAACCAATTTTTGTAACAAATACCAAACTATAATTGAACATAAACCACCGATTTTTGGAGGATTTAAACAAAAATTAAGCTACTTAAATCGGTTGTCTTTTGCAGTGTGGAGATGCTGACAATCTTGAGTGATTTCGGCGCAGATATGAAGATGATTGCAATGATGATTCCAACAATTTGAAAAAAAGTCAATTAAAAAAAATGAAAATTGGTAGATATATAAAAACAATTATGGGGATCAATCCTGCTGCAAAAAACAGATAGGTTTGATATAGTAGTTATAGAGAAAAAGAGGTAAAAGTAAAACTGTGCTGGGTTTGCCTTCAAACAATAATTTGGTTGTGGAAAAGAGTGTGTGGTTTCTTGGTGTAGGTAAAAGATTTTTATTGAAAGGCTAGTGGGCACACGCACTATAGAGCTATTGCCTGCCTTTAAGAGTACAAAAAAGAATAATAGAAAGGAAAAAAACCCAAGGGGGAAAATGGGAAAAACTAGAAAGGGAAACTAAGCTAGGGGATACAAAAAAAGGGAGATAAGGATAAAATATGAAGCATGCATGAAATTCATGCAATAAATGGAAACTAAGACTAATACAGATCTAAACTAAAAATAAAAGGAGATGACCAGTCTCATTTGGGTAGCCAGTTCAAGAAGAGTTGTCCTCTGTCTGTTGCAGCATGATCAGCAAGATCAACCCCAGGGAGACAGATCTGTTCTATGTCCAACATTATTCTACAAAGAATTGGCCAAGTAAAGATCCAGAAGGCATTGTTCTTGTTGTTTTTAGGTTTCTTCAGAGGCAGCATATTGAGTACATAATCAATTGGATTGGGTTGTACTGTAGAATAGAGATGGAGACGAATTGCAGCTCCAGTGCACTCAATGACATGATGACGGCTGGTGGTATGCAATCCACAGGAACAAGGTTGAGGACGTCCAGGAAGCCACCCCATACGCCAACGTATGAATCTACTACGTTCATAGTTAGTCATGGGAAGCCAGAGAATAGGGTCAACACCAAGAGAAGGACGGCAAGCAGAGAGAAGTATTTGTTGAGAGCGTTGCAAGAAGAGGCCCTGGTTCAAAAATGAACGAATGGCATGCTTGCAAGCTTTAGAATCAGCATTCTGACGATTGGAGAGAGACAACCAAATGGGATTAGCTAAAAGCTTAAACCATTGGTGTGCTGGGTTTGTAAGAACAGGTCGAAGAAGAGTAAACAGAGCCTCATCAGGCAACCAGAAAGCACGATATACAAACTTGAAACCAAGAGTCAAGATCCTCTCCCTCATGCTAGGAAGATTCCCAAGGTGACGGAAAACAGATGTAGAAGATGTGGAGTGACCTCCAAAAATCATGCGTAAGCATGTGTTCTGGGCCTTTTCAAGCACAGCAACTTGTTTGATGTTGAAGCAGGATATTGCCAGGCCATACTCAAATTGTGGACGAATAAACTGGCGATACAAACGAATTGAGAGTAGACGTGACAACCCAGTGTGATTGACACCAAGTGATTGAAGAGCACGCATGCTGTTGATAGCAGAGACACAATTACGAGAGATGAGAAGAGATGGATCAATAGTCCCCTTTGCTGAGAAGGGAACACCAAGGTAAGGAAACGAATGAGCATGAGGAATAGGCACATTGTAGAGAGAGAATGACAAAGGAGAAAGAGAACAAGAATGGTGAAGGATCATGCACTTGGTGGGACTCCAACGATATCCTAGCTCTTGAGAATGTTGTTCAGCAGAATTCAGAATGACAGGCATAGCTTCTGGTGTAGCAATGATGGCAACATCGTCAGCAAAAAGTAGTGAATTGACTAATTGATCATTGAGTCTTGTGGGCAGCAGTCTGATTAAATACTGTGTTACAAAGTTCCCCTGCAGCACAAAGAGCAACTGGTAGAGAATTTATGTACACAGAATAAAGGTGGGGAGAAAGCACAGATCCTTGCATAACGCCAGTCAATGGTTGGAATGATCTGGATGTTGCACCAGAAAGCAACACCTCAACTTGAACATTGTCAAAAAGACTTTGTAACAAAGCTAACATAGCATCAGAGGCAAGAGAACGTAACGATGTCCATACTACAGAATGATCAACAGTGTCATATGCAGACTTGATATCAAGAAAAGCCAAGACTGGTGGTGCTTTGAATAGAGCTGTGTGACGACGGACCATCTCATGGAGACAAAGAACTTGATCAAGGGAGCTACGTTGACGTTGGAATCCACCCTGTGCAATGTCAATTGTTGGAGACACATCTTCAAGAGGAAACTGTAGACAATATTCCATGGCTTTTCTCAGGATAGACGTTAAGCTAATGGGACGATAGTTAGCAGGGTCATGAGTATCACCCTTTTTAAAGATGGGGACAATTTGTGCAGTACGCCATGCAAGAGGTGCAGAACCCCATTGCTAACAAAGCTGGAACAAAAGACAAAGAACAGGAGAGACTTGCTTAACAATTGGGTGAAGCATTTCAGCACGAAGATGGTCAACACCAGGAGCCTTGCGTGTAGGAAGCTTGAGAATTGCACTCTCTACAGAAAGATGAGTAAAAGGACATGATTCATCAATTGCAATTGGTGATGAAATCATCACTGTCTGGTCTGGAGGGCGGCGTGCAGGAAGAAATTGACCTGAGAAAATCTGTTGAAGATGATCAGCCATTTTGTTAGCATCTACTTGAGGTCCACCTGGATCCACAAAGACAGGACTGGTTTGACGATGGCTTTTAATACGTTTCATTGTTGCTGTGGTCTTTGCAAAGTCTTGTGTTGCCAATTTGTTGCAGAATTCTTTCCATGTTTCACGTCGACGACGCTGGACTGATAACCTAACAGCATGACATGCATCCTGATGGCGCATCCAGCATATAGCCTTCTGCAAACCACTAGAATGACGCCAGCGTTGGTAGCTGCGTTCTCTCAGATCCATTGCTTCTTGAAGGTCCACTGGCCAGAACCAGTACTTTTGCATGGTACGTGGTGTACGACGACCAACAGCAGTGTCCAGAGCATCATAGATAGCTTGAGCAAAAGCAGAGCACAGAGAATCTACAGGAGGAGGAGAAGAAGAAGAAAGGAAAGCACTGAACTGCTCTGTCAGATTGTCCAATGACGCAGAAGCTGTATCAATGTAGATCTTGAGAGTGTCAGGCTGAGCAAGCTTGGAAAGATTCCAAAGTAGGCGCGGATGATTAGTAGGGGGAGGGGGAGGTGAAACATAGGGAGTGAAAGTGAGGTTGACCATTTTGTGATCAGAGCCTAAAGAAAGATCAGAACGAATTTGCATAGAAGGATTGAGAAGGGGGGACGTAGAAAGAAATAAATCAATGACACTGGAACGTGAGGTACCAGAGCCACCAGAAAGAAAGGTAGGAATACCAAATGCAAGTAATTCATTCCAACAAGTGAGACCAGTTGCCTGGATCCACTGAAGAAAAGAAGTTCCTCGCGAAGTGATAGCATGGTCACCAAGAAAGGATCCCATACGTGAATTAAAATCACCACAAAAAATAGTGTTAGAAGAAGGAATAGAAGAAGAAGAGAGGGGGAGGTCATAAAGAATAGAAATTGCATCGTCATTAGAAAGAGAAGGGGGAAGATAAATGCAATGAATAAGACAATCAAATACAATACAAGAAAGAACATAAGGAGAAGAAGAAGGAACAATAGAAATGGGGTAAGGGAAAGAAGGATTTACAAGAAGAGAAATACCCATGCAGCCACGGCTAGCATTGGGGACAGACTGACCATAGGTATGGTACTGCTGCCAAGAAGTAGGATAACGATGGGGGGACAAAAGCCACGTTTCAGTGATAAAAAGAAGGGAAGTAAGTGGAGCATATGAAAGGATTGTAGGTATGGTCTGTTTTGCAAGACCATTTGCATTCCATAATGTAATTGTTACTGGATTCATAGATCAGAGAATGAAGGGATGGTGATGCTGGCAGTATGTATAGAGATGTCCAAGTCTTTTTTGGTGGGTCGTGGGGGAACAATCTCAGCTAGTTGGTCATCACTAATCCATCCCTGAGAGCAAAAGGAACGTGCAACAGCAAACTTGACAGGAGCCCTAATGAATTCAATGGCACGTAGCATACGATCATTGTGAACATGTATAGCTTTTGTTGCCCTATCATCAAGTGAAAGAGAGGCCAGAGCTGGGTCACGGAGGTGAACAGGGTCCAGAGAATCAAAGTTATCCAAAGTAGTAACACCATAACTCGCCAAGATAGTCTTGAGCTCAGGAGCATACTCATTATGTACAAGCATTCCCATCACCTTACGATCAGGATAGTGGAGATCCAGCACACGTGCATTGCCTATCTTTAATTTCCTAAGACGTTGACGTTGAGTACTAATGGGAAGACAGATAGCATTAGGTACATAAACAATTTGAAACCCCTGATCAGCATTTTCTTTAATTGTCATGCCACGAACAACAGCAGCAATGGCCCTAGCAGTTGGAGCCCTTTTACGTGGTGTTTTAGAAACGAAAGTCTTGGTGGGTTCAGTGGAATGATGGGTCTGGGATGCAGGAAGTGATGGAAAATCAGCCTGAGAAACAACTGGAACAGAGGCAGCAATAGTAGCATATTTGGATGCTGCAGCACCAACAGAAAAATCAACATTCTCCTTTGTCAAACGTGCAATAGTGGCGTTTGCAGTAGCAAGAGCCTTACGCAACTCAATGTTCTCTTTTTGAACAGCCTCCAATGCAGAAAGACGTTCATCATAAGCCTGGAAACGGTCCCAAATATCCTGAAGAGTGGGCATTACAGTTGGAAGAACAGGTGCAATGTCAGATTCAATTTCATGGATATCTGCCATGGAAATACTATGACCCAAGATGGAAACAGAAGGGGACACAACAGGCTCACTTGCAGAATGAACTTCAGGAATTTTGTGTTGGACTGCATTGATCAAAGATTGCATGGATGAAGCAGTAAATGTTGCACCACATTTGCATTTAAACTGTGGGCTACCAGTACGAGAAGTAGACCCATTAGAAACAATTTTGCCTGTAGTCTGGCAATGTGAACAGGACAAAACATTGTGCAATTTTTTAAAGTCTGCCTTGAGGCCAGACAAAATGAGAGCAGTGGGAGTAGGGTGGCCAGTGGAATTAATCACCTGTTTTTGGGAACCAATCATTGTTGGAGGAGCTTGAAAAAAAATTTCGTGGGAACCAGGAGCAGGCAAAGCAGAAAAAGAAAGGTCTGAAACTGGGACAAAAAAGTGCGAAGTTGATGGTAAAACACCAGGACCACCTTCAGAGAAGGAGAAAAGAGCTGGAGACGATAACAGAGGTACAGGCAATCGAGATGTAGTTGGAGATGCTGACAATCTTGAGTGATTTCGGCGCAGATGTGAAGATGATTGCAATGATGATTCCAACAATTTGAAAAAAAGTCAATTAAAAAAAATGAAAATTGGTAGATATATAAAAACAACTATGACAATCAATCCTGCTGCAAAAAACAGATAGGTTTGATATAGTAGTTATAGAGAAAAAGAGGTAAAAGTAAAACTGTGCGGGGTTTGAATTCAAAAAATAATTTGGTTGTGGAAGAGAGTGTGTGGGTTTCTTGGTGTAGGTAAAAGATTTTTATTGAAAGGCTAGTGGGCACACGCACTATAGAGCTATTGCCCGCCTTTAAGAGTACAAAAAAGAATAATAGAAAGGAAAAAAACCCAAGGGGGAAAATGGGAAAAACTAGAAAGGGAAACTAAGCTAGGGGATACAAAAAAAGGGAGATAAGGATAAAATATGAAGCATGCATGAAATTCATGCAATAAATGGAAACTAAGACTAATACAGATCTAGACTAAAAATAAAAGGAGATGGCCAGTCTCATTTGGGTAGCCAGTTCAAGAAGAGTTGTCCTCTGTCTGTTGCAGCATGATCAGCAAGATCAACCCCAGGGAGACAGATCTGTTCTATGTCCAACATTATTCTACAAAGAATTGGCCAAGTAAAGATCCAGAAGGCATTGTTCTTGTTGTTTTTAGGTTTCTTCAGAGGCAGCATATTGAGTACATAATCAATTGGATTGGGTTGTACTGTAGAATAGAGATGGAGACGAATTGCAGCTCCAGTGCACTCAATGACATGATGACGGCTGGTGGTATGCAATCCACAGGAACAAGGTTGAGGACGTCCAGGAAGCCACCCCATACGCCAACGTATGAATCTACTACGTTCATAGTTAGTCATGGGAAGCCAGAGAATAGGGTCAACACCAAGAGAAGGACGGCAAGCAGAGAGAAGTATTTGTTGAGAGCGTTGCAAGGAGAGGCCCTGGTTCAAAAATGAACGAATGGCATGCTTGCAAGCTTTAGAATCAGCATTCTGACGATTGGAGAGAGACAACCAAATGGGATTAGCTAAAAGCTTAAACCATTGGTGTGCTGGGTTTGTAAGAACAGGTCGAAGAAGAGTAAACAGAGCCTCATCAGGCAACCAGAAAGCACGATATACAAACTTGAAACCAAGAGTCAAGATCCTCTCCCTCATGCTAGGAAGATTCCCAAGGTGACGGAAAACAGATGTAGAAGATGTGGAGTGACCTCCAAAAATCATGCGTAAGCATGTGTTCTGGGCCTTTTCAAGCACAGCAACTTGTTTGATGTTGAAGCAGGATATTGCCAGGCCATACTCAAATTGTGGACGAATAAACTGGCGATACAAACGAATTGAGAGTAGACGTGACAACCCAGTGTGATTGACACCAAGTGATTGAAGAGCACGCATGCTGTTGATAGCAGAGACACAATTACGAGAGATGAGAAGAGATGGATCAATAGTCCCCTTTGCTGAGAAGGGAACACCAAGGTAAGGAAACGAATGAGCATGAGGAATAGGCACATTGTAGAGAGAGAATGACAAAGGAGAAAGAGAACAAGAATGGTGAAGGATCATGCACTTGGTGGGACTCCAACGATATCCTAGCTCTTGAGAATGTTGTTCAGCAGAATTCAGAATGACAGGCATAGCTTCTGGTGTAGCAATGATGGCAACATCGTCAGCAAAAAGTAGTGAATTGACTAATTGATCATTGAGTCTTGTGGCAGCAGTCTGATTAAATACTGTGTTACAAAGTTCCCCTGCAGCACGAAGAGCAACTGGTAGAGAATTTATGTACACGGAATAAAGGTGGGGAGAAAGCACAGATCCTTGCATAACGCCAGTCAATGGTTGGAATGATCTGGATGTTGCACCAGAAAGCAACACCTCAACTTGAACGTTGTCAAAAAGACTTTGTAACAAAGCTAACATAGCATCAGAGGCAAGAGGACGTAACGATGTCCATACTACAGAACGATCAACAGTGTCATATGCAGACTTGATATCAAGAAAAGCCAAGACTGGTGGTGCTTTGAATAGAGCTGTGTGACGACGGACCATCTCATGGAGACAAAGAACTTGATCAAGGGAGCTACGTTGACGTTGGAATCCACCCTGTGCAATGTCAATTGTTGGAGACACATCTTCAAGAGGAAACTGTAGACAATATTCCATGGCTTTTCTCAGGATAGACGTTAAGCTAATGGGACGATAGTTAGCAGGGTCATGAGTATCACCCTTTTTAAAGATGGGGACAACTTGTGCAGTACGCCATGCGAGAGGTGCAGAACCCCATTGCCAACAAAGCTGGAACAAAAGACAAAGAACAGGAGAGACTTGCTTAACAATTGGGTGAAGCATTTCAGCACGAAGATGGTCAACACCAGGAGCCTTGCGTGTAGGAAGCTTGAGAATTGCACTCTCTACAGAAAGATGAGTAAAAGGACATGATTCATCAATTGCAATTGGTGATGAAATCATCACTGTCTGGTCTGGAGGGCGGCGTGCAGGAAGAAATTGACCTGAGAAAATCTGTTGAAGATGATCAGCCATTTTGTTAGCAGCTACTTGAGGTCCACCCGGATCCACAAAGACAGGACTGGTTTGACGATGGCTTTTAATACGTTTCATTGTTGCTGTGGTCTTTGCAAAGTCTTGTGTTGCCAATTTGTTGCAGAATTCTTTCCATGTTTCACGTCGACGACGCTGGACTGACAACCTAACAGCATGACATGCATCCTGATGGCGCATCCAGCATATAGCCTTCTGCAAACCACTAGAATGACGCCAGCGTTGGTAGCTGCGTTCTCTCAGATCCATTGCTTGTTGAAGGTCCACTGACCAGAACCAGTACTTTTGCATGGTACGTGGTGTACGACGACCAACAGCAGTGTCCAGAGCATCATAGATAGCTTGAGCAAAAGCAGAGCACAGAGAATCTACAGGAGGAGGAGAAGAAGAAGAAAGGAAAGCACTGAACTGCTCTGTCAGATTGTCCAATGACCCAGAAGCTGTATCAATGTAGATCTTGAGAGTGTCAGGCTGAGCAAGCCCGGAAAGATTCCAAAGTAGGCGCGGATGGTTAGTAGGGGGAGGGGGAGGTGAAACATAGGGAGTGAAAGTGAGGTTGACCATTTTGT